AATGTGTATGAAAGGCAAAGTCAATGCCAAGGCATATAAATTTTCAAATAGGCATTTTTTCTGCAGATTTCCACCGCCCATATTGGCTCACTTGTAATTGTGATGCTTCTGCGAGAAATCCTCATGTGCTGAAAATTTGCTACTCTTCGAAGTTTGCGGACTGCGTAATATGGGGCACTGGCGAAGAAGAAAAATATGGACTGTCTCACCGAAGGGAACCCTGGTGGTATACGAAGCAGCAGTGGTGCGCACGGCGTGGACCGGTTGAAACGGGTGTCGACGCGGGTGCTGGAAGAACGGTTTGAAGCGAAACTCGGTGTAGCGTTTACTCGAGTTAATGCTTGCTTGAAACGCTGACACAGGAGGTGGGTTGGGTTTTCTGTACGTTTCATCGCAGAAAGACTGTTCGCTCAGTGTACGCTCGAACGTTGTGAGCGGTGGAAAGAGTGAAGCGATACAGGGGACACGCGGCGAGTGGCGACTGGCTAGAGAGAAAGTGACGTAATCGCGCGCGCCTTTCGAGGGAAAGTGGGACCTACTTGGGACCGCCCCAGCACCTGCGGCCAGGGGAGCGCGTTGCGTACGGAAGGATACCGTTACACAAGCTAGTCACAGAGCTGCTTCACATCTCAACAATTACAGCTTGATCCGTAAGCGACCTCAGAAGAATGTCGGGTTCCACGCTCACAGGTTACGCCCAAATAAATGCCTTTTTCTCTCCTTTCACCGACTTGGCACTGATTTTCATTGGAACACTGTTTCAAGAATTGTAGACGCACTGATGCAATCTAAGCTAGCCTGAAAGCCGCGTTCGCATAGCGCACAAGGCTTCCCACTCGCCCACGAGGCTTCCCAACTTTCCCTTTCTAGCTACATACCGACGCGCTGCAGAAGCAGAAGACATAGAGGAAGGTGCAGGCGGTTGCCATACGTCCAGACCAAAGTAAGTCGCCAGTTCTGCGACGACCACAGGCTGGTTAAAAGCGCATTTTGGCCACTTATGGTTACCCATTCGCACAGTGAGTTTTGCGTTTTTCAGTGGATATGTTGGGCAATGTAACAACGAAGATCAGAATATTTTGCTTCTTCAAGAAGAAATAAACACGCATTTAGTTTAGTTTAATATACCTGGTGTAAAACATTGCGCGTCACATAGCACTGACAATTTGCACTTTCAATTTTTTCTGTAGCGTATTTTACCAATACTTTGTTTTCTTCAGAAAGGCGCAGTTTTGCTGCATGTGCAGCGCTTTTGTTTCGATGCAGTCGAGAGTACTGTAAACCAACACAATACTGACATTGTCATTGCAAGGCCCAAATATAATCAAAATACAGATGACGAAAAAGGAAACTAAAAATACTCAGCCGCTTTCACTGTAATAGACGTGGGAAGTAATTGTAGGTCAGCTAATAGAAGCCTTGTGCATTACTCCTGCAAAAATATTTATCTCTTTACTTCAGTGACATGGTCAGGACACTCAGTTATCTAAAACTTGACTCTGCTTCGGTTGAAATTCTCATAAATATTCCCACGCAAAAAAATAGTACCATGATGTGTTACGGCCGGAATCAATATGATTCAACGACAATAATTAGCCCAGTTTTCGCTCATACACGTCTCCAGAAAGAATATATTTCTCAAATCAAGGTATTTAGCATGGAGACAAAACGGACCATAAGAAAAAAAAATACTGTCACAGAAGAACTGATGCCTACTCACAATTGTCTATATCCGAAGACGTCAGCTGTTTCCAGGCTTTTTTCGTAATTTGTACCAATATAAATGAAGCAACAGAAAAAAGCTGGCATTCACTGCAGTCAGATAATTGTAGCGTTGATGCTTGATTTTACCCGAAAAAGAAACATGCGCACACCAGAATATCACGCGCTCAGCTTTCTGCCATGCTCTCCGCAGCCGCTGGAATCCACAGTGAAGGCGTGCTCTCGCGGTAGCCGGGCGCGTAAGGCGAAACTGGTAGGTTTTGCTTAGAAGCGTGCCAAATGGGACAGACCGAAAGAAACCCGCCGCCCACCCGCTATTTCACAGGCCTTGGTGGAGAGGTCTAGCCATCTTTTCTGCTCACCAAAAAAGCGTCGCATTAAAATACACCTACCTATGCTAGCTATATATATATATATATATATATATATATATATATATATATATATATATATTTATTTATTTATATATATATAACCACTTACTCCGAGCCAATTGAGAGCGGTGAGGTTGGCTCGGTTTGTGAAGCTTTTGTACGAAATAGGTGCAGAGCCACCCACGGCGATTCTAATACTGAACGTAGGTGACCAGTCAACGACCTTATAGTTCGATGATCAACAACGTCGAAATTCAACCATGCCATCTAGATAGGTGTTGTTACCCTCCAAGTACCACTCCAGGCGTCCGATGATCATCTTCTTCAAAACTTTGTCTACACATCTGGTCAATGAGATCAGACGAGAGCTCCGAAAACGACTTCCTTGACTTCAATAGTAGGACCCAGACGACGGGACATCCAGTTGGTCGGGAGCGCACCATCTCTTTAAGATTCATTGTGAAGCTTCACGGGGACGTTCTCGTGCACTCGCCTAGATGCCAAAGGTTCTGTAAGAAATTCTGTCGAGCCTTGGTGCAGACGTGTGTGCACGCAAAGCCATTGCTGTCTTGAGTTCAGGAATGGGAATTGGCCACTTCTCGCTGGGATCACATGGTTGAGCAAATTTTATTTAGGGTGGTAAGCTGATTGTGGCTTTTAAATGACCAGATATTCTGGTACAAAATTCTTCTTCCACTTTCTCCCTGGTGGCTTTTTAGAGAAGGCCAGAGCCTTGATGAGTACTGCTCACGGAGTTTTGTGTGCACACCTCGTGAGATCTCCTTCACTTGTGATAGAGATATACGAGGGCCAAGTAAATCATAAAAAACAATCCAACGTTGTTATTCGAGCTTATCTATCGGACACTGAATCTTCTTCCATAAGGCCGCAGTCCGTAATTCTTCCATTGCCTCCATGCGTGGAGATTTTCGTTGAGCACGTCGTTGAATTGCTCGGAGTTGCTCTAACGCTACTTATAATTCTAGTAATCTCGAAGAGCACGTGAAATGACGCAAAGTGTTGTGTATTGAGCTATCGATTGTCTCCTCTGAAGTGACCTATGCGCTTGACATTGCTCTTCCACGTGAGATTGAAATTTCATCCAGTCTCCTCTTTCAGTGCTATCAGCGTATCGCGTATCTAAGATGGAAACAAACCTTCTAACGTGACATATGGGGGGATTGTCTGACAAGTGATTGTGATAAGAACGCCAAGTGCATAAAAAAAATTACACCATCACCCACTCAAGGGCACCATGACGCGAAGTGAAGTTGCACGAGAAGTGCGTGCCGCTTATAGCGCGTTCACACTTGGCCTCGAAGAGAGCAAAACCGGCGAAACTTTCTGGAAACTGGCTCGTTTCGCCGCCCAAGCAGCCGGAAAACCACGCTACGGAGCCGGCGCGTGAGAATCGCTCTGTAACCGATTTCCCTCCACGCGGAATCGGATCAGTGGTGCGATTATATACAAATTTCAAATCCGGACAAAGGCGGTCTGTTCCATTGAGTCACACGCGATCGGCCCATACAAGACGTGACGATTGCTGTGACATTCTGAGTGACGTGAACTGGGGTGTCACGTGACTGTTTTTCTGCGGTTTTCTGAGGAAGGCGAAGGAACGGTCGGAGAGGCCATCCGAAAGGAACCGGATGGATTGAAATGGCTGCAAGGTGGCCTGGATTGGATTTAAATGTAAGGGCTTCGCGACTTTTCAGCATCCGGGTACTTAGACAACATGGCATTTCCCACTACCATGGGTTTCGTCTCGCCTGTGCGGCAGCTGCAGCCGAGCAGAGACGACAAAGCGAGGTTAAAGATGCATTTGAAAAGATCACTGAAGAAGAGTTCCGGCAATGGTCTCGTCTGTCCGAACGAACAGTGTGTAGCTTGTGCGATAAACTTGTCCCTGTCATCGGATGCCAGCGATCCAGTGGCCTTCCCACAGAGGGAAAAGTGTCGTGTGCGCTGCTATTTTTCGCCACTGGTGGCTTCAAGAGGAGCGTTGGTCGCGAGGAGCACATTGGCAAGACTAAGCCGGCCGTGAGCAACACTATCGATGAGGTGACGCAGACTATCATTGCCGTGGCTGCTAGGAAAAAGCTGGCGGACTTCCCACTGACAACAGCTACTAAGGATGAGGCAAAGGCAGAGTTTGTGCTACGCGGTTGCATCCCAGGCGTGCTGGCATGTGTCGATGGCACGTTGGTCACCATTTGCAAGCCAGAGGGATTCAGACTGGCCGACACGGGTAGCTTCATGTCCAGAAAGGGCTAATATGCCCTGAACGTCATGATAGTAAGTACCGTTAGGATCCTTTCTTACTCACCCATCGGAGCAATTGTTCAGTTGTGACGCCAAAGCTGGAAAAAGTAATAATGCAACGAATAAAAAAGAACCTGCAGGGAACTGGGTGAGAGCTAGTTGGTGGCTCCCAAGGCCTCGGTAATAATAAGTGGCAAGTGTTTTGTGCGTGAGGCACTTGCCGTTTTTGTACTGGCCTGCATGCACAATTGAGTTGTGCATTTTAGAGGTAATCGGTAATATGGGCAGCAGACGTAGCAGAAATATATACACGACAGGGAAGTATTTAGAACACGAAAGTGCTTAGAATCACAATTGCACGAGCTGGCTTTGGCATTTACGAGCGTTCTTTCCCAAGAGCAGCACGTAGGTTTTAACTTATTGGTCATTCAGTGGAAGTCGTAGCCATGTGTACAGCAGAGGAGGGGTTGTTGCCCCTCCCCTCCCCCCTAATAGGTGTGCTACACCCTGTGTTTCCTTCTAAGTGAAGCTTCTTGTATCAATGACTGTACTACCACGCATTGTTTCCTGCGTATGCGTAGAAAAAAAGGGATTTATTCTGAGTATAAATGCAGCACAATTTTATATCGCTCCTCATCGCAGATGTGCAACGCATGGCTGCGCATCCTTGTCATGAATCCATGATTCGCAGATTCGTGACACGACTCCTGGGTGTAAGAATACAACCCACTGCGTGAACGTCTAGCGGCACATCTGCAGCCTGGCGAATATCTGCTTGGTAAGTAGTAATGTATACTAACTGGGGCAGAGCACCCAGCTTTAATGTTTCTATTGCAGGAGACGCAGGGTATCTTGTCGAGTCGTGGCTCCTAACTGCATTTCTTGGTAGTCAACCGCGCAACATTTCCGAAGGCCGATACAACAAGTAGCACGCATTCATGCGCAATGTTGTGTAAAGAAGTATCGCAGTGTTCAAGAGCGAGTTCCGCTACTTGCAGCACTTTCGAAAGATGCTCTACAACCCCGATAGGGCAGCGCAAATGATCTATGCTTGCGTTGCTCTCCACAACATTGCGTTGCAGGCGGGCAACTGGTCCTCAGACGAGTATGTTGTGGACATGCCACCAGCTGAGTATGACAATGGGGAGCCAAGGGAGAGCCATATGCTCACACCACGCAACGTGCTGCTCAGAGACGGCAGCAGCGCAGCGCTGTTTTGGGCCTTTTTGAAATACGCAGGAACGGTGTGTTTTCATGTTTTCATATCACACACATAATTTATTTATACTGATTCTAGTGCATTTAGACATAACAGGGCTGTGTTTGCCATATTTGAATACACAAAGTACTTACTCGTGCTTCAATATGAAGCAAGGTGGCAATGTGAAATTTTTTTAAATGGCACATGAAATATGCAAAAGAAACACCCTTTTCCATATCAGTGATCACAGTCACAACAGAGTAGATTGGAGCAAGCATATATGAGTGGCACTCTGTGCTGAATGTTGCATCACAAAATTGTGCGAACAATGCAGCAACGTCACACAATTTCTTTCATCAGAACGGATAAAAATTGCGATTCCATTAGTAACAGGTTGCATCAACACATAATACATAAGTCCATATCATCTCGTAGTGACTGACTACAAGCATTAAATTGTGCACGCCAGGCTTGACGAACAATTGTGCTCGTCAAGTTGCGGTGGTTTTTGTTCATTGTCCTAAACATTGTATGAATGTTGAAATAACATTTGATTTGAATTCTCGACTGCAGTCATGCTGCAATGCTAAAAAATACGCAAATCAAGACAGCAAACAACCGGCGAGTTATTTCGATAACATACAGCATGAATAATTGGCTCAGCGATCTCGCGGCTCCCAAACCACACCACGTTCAAAATTTATTGCCGCAACGAGTCGTTTACAATTAAAACTAGATAAAATCAATCGCTGGCATATTGCTGTGATGATGATCATTTTCATTTGTGAAACAGTGACATGACCACTTACTAGCTTAGTGCTCTTAAAAAAGACTCAGAATGTAGTTGTTGTACATTAGCCTCATTGTGCTGAAATGAAAATATCACAGTGAACGGCAGCACAGTGTGATGCAAAAAGATATCACATTACTACACTATGTGGTAATGCTGCATAAAAAGCGCAGTGAGCTAGAAAGCACAGTGGTGCAATAAATTATCACAGATGCAATAACATAAAATGCCAACTATACACTCGTGGTCTCCGTGTGAATGACTAGGCACCTTTGAAATGTGGGGAAAAAACACTGCCACTGGAGCAGCTCGAACATACATTGAGAAATGCATATATCGAACATAAAAATGCTGTACTACTTGTACAAAGTAAATGCTAACCTAAATATAGTAACATGTACTAAATGCAAACAAAAACGTATAAAATAGAGCATGAACAGCAACACGTAAACATGTCAAAAACACTAAACGATTGATGATTATTAAAACGTTGAAAACATGGTGAAATACAAACTAAAATATGTAAATGTCTCCCGAAGCGTATAAAATTGATCATGAACAGCAGCACCTAAACACATTGAAACCGACAAATCATTATTGAATGATGACAAGAAAAAACATTGAATACATGACAAAAAATTAAACTAAACTACGTATCCCTTTTTCGCAGAAAGCCCTCAGCCATGGCCCGTGCCAAGGAATGAACTGCCTGCAGGACGCCCTCCTGCAGTAAGACGGTAAGTTGGGCCAGTTGGTTAGAATCCATCGTGAACTTACTTACAGCGCAACACCAGAAAAAATACAGGACAGGGAAGGAGTAGAACAGAAAGAAAAGACGGCGCTGACTCACAACTGTTGTTTATTGGAAAAAACGGGGTGAAAAGGATATATATAGGTACTTGAAGCCTACATCACAACATGCGCAAACTGCGAGGTGCACCGAGGTAGCGTTATTACACTCATGGCAGTAAACAAGCTTGGCCTAAATAACTGAATTCTTTGTCATCCAGTGTGACGCATGGCTGGTTCACGCCAGTACAGATAGTGGTGCGACACGGCCGAATTCACCAGCGAGTTCCTCTGGCGCATTGTACGTCTGACGCTTACGGTGAAGAAGAAAGCAAACTTGGTACAGGGCCATGTGCTTAACCTTAGCGCAACGCCAATACCGGAGGGACATGAGAGGGTGCTGGGACTTGGCCCGAAGTACTGCTACGAACCCCGCCTGAATCCCTTTGAAAAGGTAGCCACAGCGAGGGCGGTCACAAGGTGTGCCAAGGAAGATGAACGCTCAAGGTGTGTTTCGGACTGTATTGATACCATTGCCAGAACGGGAAAGGCGCGGGGGGGGGGGGCACGGACTCACTAAGACCGCTAGTGGATTTCCTTTGTGAAAAGAAACTGCATGTACTAGTGGCCGATAAAGAAGGATACTTTGCCATTATGAATTCTGAAGCGTATTCACAGAAGAGCGAGGCCGCAGTTAAGAAAAACTTCAGGCGTGTCAGTGTTAAGGCCACAGAAGTAAAACACAAAGCGCTTTCCTTGTTAGAAGGAATGAATCTGCAACGTTTGGCAGCCAGCGTAAAGAGGGGGCGAAAAACCTGGAGTTAGAAGTTTTTTTTACGGTGAAATCGCACAAGCAAGACATGCCTTTCCGGGCCATAGTCTCAGAAAAAAGGTAGCTGGAAGTTATATGTTTCGCGTTTTCTGCAAGAGAACCTAGCATGCCTGAATATTGTTGACCCTTTCTGCATACCGAATTCAGATTTTGTGTGCGAGTACCTCAAAAATAACTCGATGAGCCTACGTAGCGCCTTCAGTGTTGACGTGGAAAATTTATATTATGTCCTTCCGCATTGCCAGGTTATGAAATGCGTAAAAGCCTGCATTGTGTTTGACAACGATGAACAATCTGTCATCGATGGTTGTGGTATTTCTTTAGAATCTTCTCTTGAACTTTTGTCATTTTACCTTGAAAGTACCTTTGTGTCGTGGCGGGGGGACCTTTATGTACAAAAGTCTGGTGTCTGCATAGGGTCGAGCGTGGCCCCTATTATTAGTGACATTATTTTAGGCTACATTGACAGGCAGCTGGAAGGTCACCTTAGTAAGTGCTGCAGTGCTGTTTTTCGCTACGTCGATGATTTTGTATGTTTTTCTCACAATGACATTCACCATAAGGACATTGACCACATTCTTAAATTGTTCAGTCAGCATGGTATAGGCCTCACCTTCACTCACAAAGTCTGTAAAGATTATGAGCTACAGTTTCTTGACCTAAAGCTAACTTTTGGTAAAGATCATTTGTGCGGGAAATATGACCCAAGATCAGTTAAGCCTATCTTAAACTACAAGTCTGGCCATTCTAAGATTGTGAAGAGAGCGATTGCAAAGACAATTTTAAATGCGTCGCTCAGGAAATCCTGTGTGCACGTGTCGAATACTACTTTTCATAACCAGGTAAAACGCTTAGTAGATGCTGGGTATCCTGACAAGGTGATTTCGTCTGTGTGTGAGTCAATGGTTCGGAGTGTTAAGCTCGTGAAACACAGAGCAGCCCAAGAATATTCTGATGGAAAAACAAAAGGAGCAGTTTTTCTTTATGTACACAAATTGGCGCATGAGCTGAAAAACGTAGGCTCAAGGTATGGTGTCGACGTGCTTTTTTACGCCAAACATAAGGTAGGTCGCATTTGCCCGATGGTTGATAATGCGCTGAGGAACAAACAGGCCAAAGGGAAATGCGCTGTGAATCATAAGAGCAAGTACATTGCATGCGTAAAAAAAAAAGCTGTGCATTTAACTCCATTATCGTGTGGTATAGGGAGTACGTGGGACCAAAGAAACGATGTGTGAATGTTCGTTTAAGGAAGCATGAGTTATCTCTTCAAGGGATCGCGCGACTTCATATGCTGGAACATTGCAGGTCATGCGGTTGTCGTCCCATTTTCGAGAGAACTACCATCATCTTCAAGCATTCTAACCAGCTAACTAGAGAAATCGCTGAGGCAAATCATATAAAGATTAGGGGTAGCAAGTGCGTTAATGAATCATCCGTCACACTGGACGAAAAAGAATTAAGTTATTTAGGCCAAGCTTGTTTATTGTCATGAGTGTGATAACGCTACCTCGGTGCACCTCGCATTCTGCGCATGTTGTGATGTAGGCTGCAAGTACCTATATATATAATTTTCACCCCGTTTTTTCCAATAAACAACAGTTGTGAGTGAGCGCCGTCTTTTCTTTCTGTTCTACTCCTTCCCTGCCCTGTATTTTTTCTGGTGTTGCGCTGTAAGTTCACGCCCTCCTGCGCCGCTGCCGCCTTCTCCTGTGCTGCTGCCACACGCCGTACTGCAGAAGCGATGCAGGTGGTTGTTGTTCTCATCTTCCGAAGCACCTGCTATTGATCATCGTGGTGGAAATGTTTAAGTGAGCTGCCGTTAAACCCTTAACCATCTCGTAGCTGGAAGTTGCTGCTGCTGCCAAGAATTGCAACGGGCACAACAATTTCCCCTCAGCTGAAGATCAACTGGCCTGATGGCATCCTTTGAAAGTGTGAAGCTTTGCGTACAAGCTATGCCCTTCTCGTGCGAACCAACAAACAGTTGTTGGAACTACTCTTTATTAATCTCATCAAATGCATCTCTCACCATCAAACAGCCCTTTTCAGGGCTAACCAACCTTTTGCCCGGCAGTTTATCGTTGCAGATATCCGATACCGTGCCTCTCAATACAATGCATGGTCTTATTTACAGCCCATGTTGGTTTCAGTCATCATAATAGAGCACGGAGCATGTTTACGCCCCTTACGTAAATATAAACAAAGGGTCTACTCACCTTGAGCACCTTGTCACCCTGCTGAAGGTTCTGGTTCTGCTCTCAATAAAGCCCTAAGTTCTCGGATGCTTGCGTGTTACTGTGTCACTGCCATCTGCAGCCGCTTCAGTGGCCTCCACATCCATTTCCACCGCAGCAGTGGGAACATCTCCTACTGGAAAGTGTCGTAAGCATGATCTTTCTGAAAGTAGGTATTCGTTGCTCTGGCTATATTACAAACTTACGTACTAAACATCTGAGGAAACATCTTCTGCAGCTATTCAGTGGTCATTGATATCATGTATTACCATTTTAGTACATGCACTTGCCCGCAGGAATTGCGTGTTTTATGATAAATTAATACCCCTTGTACTGCAAGGGCTCCAAACTGAGATTTTAGTTATTAAACCCACCCACTTTTGAATTCTTTTTCCTGCGCTATATTCCCGTTTAACAAGGTTCCGCTAAAGGCACTTCTTCAGATATCAAACTCTGTCATGGCACCACTCAGGAACTCGTGATATGCGGGAGAGTGCTTACCTGTTGATAGGTGAAACCAGAGACGCCCCTGAAGCGTGTCATCCCAGTCAACTGTAAAACCTGGCCGCGGAAACCAGGCAGCCAACTCCCTCCAGTGCCCCTGAAAATGTACACCAATGTCAAACAACAAATCGCCCGCGCCATTCGACGGTCACTCACGTTTGTGCCTCTCTGATGGCGGCGGCGTCACGGCGGGCCTTGTGCACCAGCCAGCGCCACCAAGCCTGCCACTCCTGCACAGGCCCATCATGGTTCAGCAGCGCGTCGCTGAGCTCTTGCCACAGCCGCCGTCAGTCGGCGATGGTGGCGCCGTGCCGCAGCTCGATGGCTTTCGCCACGAGCTGCAGATGTTAGCCCATAAAGCGAACACCAGTGCGAGCTGAGCCTCGGAAACGCGGATGAGCCGCTGCTGCTGTTGGCTACTGGTGCCGTTGCCCTCCGCCTTGATTGCGCTCGACTGAGCCAACAACTTCGAAAGTTGCGCCGTTTAGGTTTGTATAGTGGTGGAGTCATGGGAACAGTAACTGCTTGAAACGGGGTCGTATTTAGCGCCCCTACTTACTGTTCCGCTAAATTTAGCGTCATTTCAAAACAATAACGGAAAAATACGTTTGCATTGTGCCGTATTCCTTATTCAGCGTTTGAAAACTAGTGCCAACACATTTCGATAGTGAGCAATAATAGCTAAACATTTTTCAGCACGTTATAAACACTTTTCACTTTGCTATACGGTCGCCAAGTCGACGTCAAAATATTTACGCAAGGCTTCCTTTCCCTCATTGGCTGTTCACTTCCCTTCGTCCTCGCGACCGCTGCAGACCGCCCACTTTTTGACGTCACCGACAGACCAGCTCCATCCGGATTTGGAATTTGTACATATTTGCACCACAGGCTTCCGCTTCACAGTCTTGGCAGCGCTATATCAAACCACGTGACCGAAGCAGCTAGCGGCAGATTCAACATGGCGGCACAGGCGTCGGTGGTTGCTCGCATCGGCTCAAATCGCAAACGACCCGTGCAGCACAACGAAGCTTGATGGCCTCAACGAGGACACGTTCATCGAGAGCCTGACTTGGATTACCATCGCCGAGAACTCTGGAAGTAGACGGTGCAGCGGCTGCGAGTCAACATGTTCCAACGTGTCTCGCGTTTGTGTACAGCCAGCTGAATGTACCGCTGCAGCTGCCGGTGCGTTCGCTGGTATCGTTCATGCTGGCATATCTCCCGAAACAACGTTTGAAAAGGCGCGAGATGTTTCTTTACTTTACTTTGCGTGAGTAACTGAAATTCGGTAGGAAGTTTAATTCTCAGAAAGCAGGCAAAAACAAACTAATTGCCAAGGTATCGACGGCAGCGGTAGCGAGATGGGGCAGAACGA